TGGGGGCAATATGCTGACTCTGTAAACCACTTAGAGAGGGCTGAAAGCCCTATGAAGCGGTATATAAGTCTAACTGCTATTGCTATTATATTATCACAGCCTGATTTAGCCCAAACAGCTGATTGACGGTTGGATGGGGCCCTGCCAATAAGCTGTTCCAGGCTGCGAGGATCACCAGATCCCATCGCCGCCTCCACACGTCACGTTTTTGGCCTCGCATGCTCCATTTTAGACCTGTTCCAAGCTGCCGGAATTGCCATAGCACATTGACGCCAATCGATTCCTCTGCACGTCATGTTTTCAGCCTCTGTGCATCACGGTTTTGGCCTCCGCATGCCCCATTTTTGGCCTCAGTGTGTCACATTTTTGACTAGTTCCAGGCTGAAAATGCGATGTGTGAAGGCAGTGATCGGCAGCGATGTGCTGTGGTGATCTCTGCAGCCTGGAACGGGTCTAAAATGGAGTGCACAGAGGCCGAAAATGTGACACATGGAGGCCAAAAATGGCTGAAGGGTGGGGACCAGCAGGTGGGTGGGGTTTCTGCAATATTCGGTGTATAAGACGCACCACCATTTTCACCCACTTTTAGAGGCGTGGGAAGTGAATCTTATACTCCGAAAAGTACGGTATTTAGAAGCTACATTTTAGTAGACTAGTACTTATCACTCTTTACTTTCAGATGTGAACATGTAGAGGGAAGAGACTATCTATAGCAGGGCTATCAAACTCCTGGCCCATGGGCCGGATGCATCACATGCTGGCCATGCCCATGCCGTTTAGGGAAAGGGAAAAAAGTTCTGATATATCATGTGATGATGCCTTGACAACGTGAATTTTACATCCTTGATCTATAGGCTAAAGATGAACAAATCCAGGAACAGGCTGCAAAGGTTGAACACTTCCCACTTCCCGCATCATTGTTCAGCTTTTACTTAAAAAAGAAAACAGAGATAAATTATTCATTCTTACCAAAAAATGATGGATGCATGGCAAGAGAACTATGTCTGTCAAAGTGAAATAAAGCCCTTCAGCAAATATATGCTCCAGAGGTGGAAGTTCAGATGTTTTTATTTTCCTAATGTGAGAGGGCTCCCTGTTGGTAGCGAGTGGCATCTTCTCCAAAGTTAGTTTAGAGAAAGCTGTCCTCAGTTCCAAATCTGCAGAAGTAGGTTCCTGGTTTTTCATAGTCCTATCTTCTTTTGAAGAAATATCAGTGCTTGCTGTGTTGTCAAGCATCTTTTGCTGTTGAACTTTCTGTCTTCTAATTTTATCATTGTTGTGGACTCTTACAGGTTCTCCCAATTTGTTTTCAAACAGCAATATCTCTTTTGGAATATTCTCATGTGGATCCTGAGATACTTTTAGAAAGTTTTCAACTGCCAGAGGAATACTGATCTCACAAAGCCTGGTCCATTCACTAACCTAGAAATAGATAAGGTTGATGCAACAGTTAAAGTGCTGGATTACAATTGGGAATATTCAGTTTCTACCCTACTTTTAACTAAATAAATTCAATAGGTGACTTTGGAGTAGACTTTGTCACTCAATCCAACCTACAGAAAGGTATACAGAGTAAAATGAAGGCAGGTGTAAATCGTGAGAGCCTGGAAAAAATATTGGATATGTCATCATCACCATCATCATCCCCACCCCCACAACCACTGGTTATAAAGACACTGACCATGTAGCTGAGGATTAGTTATGATAGTAACAATCAATTGTTAAACATAAGCATTCTAACAAATGGATTGAAATGGCATACATACATTATTAGTTTTTGAAGCTACAGAAATAAATATCTACTGATGCATACTGAATCAGATTCAATTGCTAGCATTGTAAACCTAAAATAACTCCAAGTTTGTATTCCTCAAAAAATAGTTTTGTTTTACCATACAAGAAGTTGGTTTTGAAGATTTTTAAGATATAGCATTAAGTCTAATATTCAAAGAAAAACAGGACTCCAGGGGATATTCTATGATAGTATAGTTAACTATTTTGTACAGTTTGTTCTTGACATCTATGGATGTGCTATATAGATATATCTTTTGCTTTTATATAGTTTAGAAATATACTTGATCTTGATTGCAAAGTACATTCTAGATTTTAATAATAAACTCACTTCAGCACAAGCTTTCAAACAGGTTCTTTTGAAGCCCAAAAGTTCCAAAACACCTTTGATTGATGGATCCGCCTCATAGGTTTTCTGTACTATGTACCTCAATACCACAGCAAGTCCTGCACGACAAAATCTTCCATTCTTTTCAACAACAGCAGGTAAACAGCAGCTTTGAACCATCACAGGAATTTCAGATCTTTTGATGAAGCTAATCTCTGGATACTTTGACAATATTTCCTCTGTCTGTTGTATATCAGAAGCTATGTCATTTGGAGTTACTAAAAATATCCTGAAGATCTTGCAATCACAATACGCCAACAGAAACAAGGATATAGATGTGTGCAGAGGGTAGATACAGTCTTCATTGTGACCAAAGTAGTCTAGATATACGTGGTCTTCGTTTTCACTTTTCATTTTTTCCTTAAAGCAAGAAGTGTAATTTAAAAAAATAAGAGGTAGAAAATTATCTATTTACAAATCAATGTGCTATATCCTATAATTACAGACCTCAAGGAAAATAGATCATTTGGAGTTTTTTTTTTAGAACATGTAAACTAGAATTGATTCATGCTATGTATGGACAGCAATCCAATGCTGAATTCTTTTCCCTGAAACATTTAGGATTTTTTTATCAGTATAATACCGTTACCTTGTGTTGTTTCACCCTTCATATTACTGGTAACTATCAGAATCAAATTTTAAAAATTTAGGTAAAAATTTAAAAAACATGGTTATGTTCTTGGACATTTCTAGGAAGGTAGAAAACTCATTATTCAGTGGTGTATTAACATTTTACAACTTTCAAATGGTAATATTTTAACACTAGATGGCATACCTTCTAAACAATTTTAGTTTAAAAATGTAAAATGGCAATATAACAAGGCCAGTTACCATTTGCAGAATATGTTTTATGCTTAAGATACTGTGAAGTTGTTTATCAGCCAACCATATGGTACACTAATAAGGTGTGAGAGGCATCACACCTATGTGCATACAATGCTGGAATAGTAATTTATTATATTGTTTATATATTGTAAGAACATCTCATTCAAATGCTATTGACATTTTTACTATAAATAAGGAATTTACATCACCTGGGGAGAATGGCCTATTCACAATATGGCTGTGAAAACAAAAACACATGGCTGACATGTATGATTTCTTTCAATTGAGATTATGATTTGAAAAACTGCTCAGCAGTACCTCACTATTTTTATTTTACCAAGCATATTCAAGAAGCCTGAGGAGGAAGGAGGTATTTTTAGAAATAAAGAATGGAATGAACCCTAACTTCATGTCAAATTTATAGCAGCTTGCTATAATTAAAATATCAATAACACATTATTTTAAAAATAAAGTTTTAAAAATAATATTGGCTAGAAGTAAGGGAATCACTGGTTTTAGTGAGGGATATTTATAGATCTGCTGAGGCCAAGGAACAAGGTTTGCTTACTCCAACATGTACAATACATAACTGTTCTTAAACATTGCTCATAAAACATTTTTTATGGTTTTTCAGAACTTCACTACATGATATTGCAATTCTAAGTACTTTTAAGTCCCAATAAATATTACATCATTTATTTGTGAATAAATATGCTCAGAACTTGCACAGGGAAATAAGAGCAAATAAATCGCTTTATGGCTTTATATGTAATGTAGTGTGAATAATTACTCCATTAGTTGCCAAAAGTCATTCCGCCCTCATATCCCAGCCTCAGGGATCACTTGATGAAGTCTTCGTACAAAAATTAAATAAATCCTCAAATTGAGGTTTACTTAAATTAAATAAAATAAATTGCTAAACCTCAATACTAGCAACAGCTTTATAGCTTTTTTGAATAGTCAGCACATTACACCAGCTAAATACACGCTATACACCGTATGGCTTACCACAACAGGTATGCTCAGCCAATGTGAGTTTAATAGTTATCCTGGTAATCTTATGGTGTTCAGAACTTCAACCTTACTTCAATCTGAATCCACAATCTCATTTGAAAAGCAAAATAGTCATCTTCCTGAGTATTCTCAATCTTGACTGATATGGAAAACAGGATCAGAGCCGGTCATTATCTGGATGGGTGGCCACAAGGAAATCTTGCAACTATCAGCTAGACTAGAAAAGGTTTAAAACAAAACAAAAAGAAAAAAACAGAAAAGAGCAATAAACAATTTTTGTTGCAAAAAAATGTAAACAGAAGGCATCAGCTCAGCTCAAAGGAGACATTACCTATGTGACAAACCTCTCCCCCCCCAAAAAAAATCGATGGTTATAGGAAGAAAGAATTGTAGCAGATAGTTAAAAATAAGAAATTAGATTTTAATTTCCATTTTAAACTTCCACTGGCCATCAAGCATGCAGACAACAAAAGAAATAAAGCACATGGAATATTCACGCTTCTTTTTATCAGGGGTGGCAAGACTGACCCCGATTGGGCAACCATCTGTCTGGAATGGTACAAAGTCTCCTGCTCGAATAGGAGGTTGGACTAGAGAACCTCCGAGGTCCCTTCCCATGCTATGATCCTCTTCTACATGCTTTTAAAACGTATTTTATTATTACTATTAATCCAAATGACATGTGGCGATGGGCATGGGGGGGGGGGCAAAAACACGCTCTGCAGGCGATCAGGAGACTCCTAATCGAGCGGCACTCCAGGCGCCGTTCAGTTCCTAACCCTAAAGCGGGTCAGGACAGGGGTCCGGCTCGGGGACGGAAAACCGCTGCTCTCCCGCCGGGTATCTCTTACCAAACGGCTTCTCGTCCCACCCAAAGCTCCTCCCCTTCCTCCGCTTTGTCCGGGTTGGAGATCGCCGCTTCCGGTGCCAGGCCGAGGAAAAGCGGCCGACCGGCATCGGAGGGGAGCTTCCCAAAGCGGGAACCTGCCTGGGGCGGCCGGCCGCGATTTTGGCGGGAAAAAAAGAGGGCGGCCTTGTAGTGTTCTCGTAAGTCAGAGCGAAGCGTGAGGCGTTGGGGGCCGTTTAGGGATAGCCGCGGGCGGGGGAAACGGCGCGAACGAACGATCGGCTTCTGCGGTCGCTGCCCCTTCGTTGTTATGAATGAAGATGGTTCATTTAAAAAAAAATGTTGTACCCCTGATGGGTAATGAACTTAGCAAACAGAAAGTCGTGGGAAAATGCCCCTTTTTATGAGAATGACAGGTGTCTGGGGATGGATGGATGGATAGGTAGGTAGGTGGTAGGTAGGTAGGTAGGTAGGTAGGTAGGTAGGTAGGTAGGTAG